TTGTTTCATCTCCAGCTTTGGGGTTTGTGGGTTTGGGGTTTTTTTCCCTAAGGGTGAAGTTTCACACTTCCATCAAAGGAGTGGACACCCAAACCCAGAACATCTGGGCTTTTCAGTGCCTGCAAACCAGAACCATTTCCTCCAGGCCCTCAAAATTTTAGCTGAAGCCTGACCAAAATTGCAAGTTTTAGGGCATTTGATTGAAAGGTTGGGGTTTGGAGTGGGAGAAATTGTTTCCTGTCCACAAAGTCCTCAGATATTTGAGAACTGGCACTTGGCACAGGAAAGTTTAGTGAAAAAAAGCAGATTTTCTGTAAAGGAGGTGAAAAATGGCCAATTTTGTGTGACCTCACATTGGGGTCAGACAGGTGGCAGAGGTCATTTATTTATATCCTGTACATTTTATATATTTATATATTATTTAGTTTCTATATTTTATATACTTACATATTATAGATTACGATACATTTTAAATATTATTGTATTTTACATATTATATTTTATATCTGCTTATCTACTATAGATTTTATATATTTTATATCTTCACATATTCATATATTAGTATATATGTGTTATTATATTTTATGTATTTTATATCCTTACATATCATTCATAGATTATTATATCTTTTACACATTATTGCATTTTATATTTCAGCTATTTAATATATTTGTATATTACCTATTTTATATCTTTTATACCCTAATATATCCTTCATAGTTTATTATATATTTCACATATTATTGTATTTTCTATTTTAGCTATTTTAGATATTTATTTATTACACATTTTATATCTTTTATATCCTTACATATCCTTTATAGGTTACTATATATTTTACATATTATTGTATTTTCTATTTTAGCTATTCTAGGTATTTATATATTACACATTTTATATCTTTTATATCCTTCATAGATGATTATATTTTACCTATTATTGTATTTTATATTTTAACTATTTGAGATATTTATTTATTACACATTTTATATCTCTTATATCCTTACATATCCTTCATATATTTTTATATATTTTACATATTATCATATTTTATATTTTACCTTTTTTAGATACTTATATATTACTAATTTTATACTTTTTATATCCTTATGTATCCTTCATAGTTTATTATATATTTTACCTATTGTATTTTCTATTTTATCTATTTTAGATATTTATATATTACACATTTTATACATTTTATATCCTTGCATATCCTTCATAAATTATTATATATTTTACGTATTATTGTATTTTATATTTTATCTATTCTAGATATTTATATATTACACATTTTATATCTTTTATATCCTTCATAGATGATTATATATTTTATGTATTATTGTATTTTATATTATAACTATTTGAGATATTTATTACACATTTAATATCTTTTATATCCTTCATAAATTATTATATATTTTACCTATTATTATATTTTCTATTTTAGCTATTTTAGATACTTATATATTACATTTTATGCATTTTATATCCCAGACATCAACGAGTGCACGTCCAACCCGTGTGTGAACGGCGTGTGCCGGAACAACGCCGGCTCCTTCGCCTGCGAGTGCTCCCCTGGCAGCAAACTGGACCCCACTGGCACCATCTGCGTGGGTAAGGGGGGCACCTTCTCCTGGACTGGCCATCCCAGTGCCCACCAGCACCCCTGGCTGGGCATTCCCGGTGCCTTCCTGGCATTCCAAGGGCACGGATGGTGGGATGAGGGGGACCGGCCTTAAGCTGGAGGAGGGAAGGTTTAGGTTGGGTGTTGGGGGGGAAATTCCTCCCTGGGAGGAGGGAACCAAACACCTCTCAGAGCTGTGGAATCATGGAATGGTTTGGGTTGGAAGGGATCAAAAAGGTCATGGAATTCCAACTCTTCCCCGGGAGAGGGGGGAGGCCCTGAAATGGTTTTCCCAGAGGAGCTGTGGCTGCCCCTGAATCCCTGGAATTTTCCAAGGCCAGGTTGGAGAAGAGAAGGCTCCAGGGAGACCTGAGAGCCCCTTCCAGGGCCTGAAGGGGCTCCAGGAGAGCTGGAGAGGGACTTGGGACAAGGGGTGGAGGGAGAGGACACAGGGAATGGCTTCCCACTGTCAAAGGGATATTGGGAAGGAATTCCTGGTTGTGAGGGTGGGGAGGCCCTGGCACAGGTTTTCCCAGAGAAGCTGTGGCTGCCCCTGGATCCCTGGAAGTGTCCAAGGCCAGCTTGGAGCAACCTGGGCTAGTGGAAGGTGTCCCTGCCCGTGGCAGGGGGTGGAATGAGATGAACTTTAAGGTCCATTCCAACCCAAACCAATTTGGGATTCCACGATCCTTTGACACCTCTCCTTCCCACTCAGTGTTCCCTTGGATTTTGGTGCCAGTTAATGTCTCTCTTGCCTCCAGGGAACCTGGAAAGCTGCAGCCTCAGGTTGTGCTGCACCCACACACAGGGTCCCAGGGGAACCCAGGATCCCTATGGGGTACCAGGGGATCCTTCAGGGCATCAGGATGGTGGGTTCTCCCTCAGCAGATGGGTTGGGGGTGTGGTGACATTAAGGCACATCAAGAAAAAGTGGATCCTTTCTCATCAAGACCATGGGAAGGTTCCCACTTCCCACTCCTCGATGGTCAGGGCCTTGCAAAGCATCTCAGGACAAACAGATAAAGGATTATTTCCACCCAGAAAAGGAGCAGGTTGAGAATGGGAAAAGGGCAGGACAGGGCTCTGGGGACCAGCAGGGTTTGTGTCCCTGCTGGAACCCACTTGGCCCCACAGATTGAAGGACAGAGTGACTCCAAGGACCAACAGCCACCTTGCAGCCAGGGAGGGTTCCAGGGCTGTTCCTCAGGGTTCCATGAACCTGGGAATGGAGCAGCTCCTCACTCTCTCCTTGTCTTCATCCCTGCAGACAGCATGAAAGGGACCTGCTGGCTCAACATCCAGGACGGGCGCTGCGAGGTGAACATCAACGGGGCCACGCTCAAGTCGGAGTGTTGTGCCACCCTGGGGGCAGCCTGGGGCAGCCCCTGCGAGCGCTGCGAGATCGGTGAGGCCCTGCCTGGCACAGGGGTCCCCCAGGGAACGCCTGGAGCTGTGCCAGGGGGGTTTGGAATGGATCTCAAGGAAAGGTTCTTCTTCCCCGGGGGGTGGTGGGCACTGCCCAGGCTCCCCAGGGCAGTGGGCACGGCACCAAGGCTGCCAGAGCTCCAGAAGGGTTTGGACAATGCTCTGAGGGACAAGGGGGGATTGCTGGGGTGTCCTGATGATCCCTGAGGGTCCCTTCCCGCTCAGGATATTCCAGGATTCTCTGAATAAATCCAGTCTCCAACTCTGTCTTATCCATTCCCCTCCCACTTGCTTTCGTAAATCCAGAAATTGTGCTTTACCCTGTAGGATCCCTGATAAATTCCAGCTGCTCTGAAATCCTTCCCTGCCCTGTGTTGCCCATTTTTCCATGGAAATCCATGGAGCTGTGCCAGGAGAGGGTTGGGATGGATCTCAGGGAAAGGTTCTTCCTCCCCAGAGGGTGGTGGGCACTGACCAGGCTCCCCATGGAATGGTTATTCCCCAAGGCTGCCAGAGCTCCAGGAGGGTTTGGATGATCCTCTGAGGGATTGTTGGGGTGTCCTGATGATCCCTGGGGGTCTTTTCCCTCTCAGGATACTTCAAGATTCTACAGAAATCCTGCTGCATTGTTGCTGTGGATGTTTCTGTGTTCGTAGGGGACAAATCAAGCCCCAACTCCTTAAATAAAGAGGGGCAGGGGGTGGAGAAGAACAAAAGCAAACCCTGAGGAACATGTCCAGAACTCTTGGACAACGCTCTGAGGGACAGGGGGGGATTGTTGGGGTGTCTGTGCAGGGCCAGGAATTGGACTGATGATCCTTGTGGGACCCTCCCAGCTCAGGATATTCTCTGATTCTCTGGGAGATCAGGAAGGCAGGAGCAGCCTGTTCCTGTGCTGACATTCCCGTCTTTCCTTGCAGACACTGCCTGTCCCCGGGGATACGCCCGGATGAAGGGAGTCACCTGTGAAGGTACAGTTCCAGCAGGACACGGGAAACTGTTTCCATCAGGATCATGCTCATTGTTCATTTGCTGCTATCCTGCCTCTCCAGGTCTGGGAGGGGAGGTTCTACACCTTCTGGCCCTTTGCTGGGCTCTCTGTGGCTTTGTGGCCTCTGTCTGTCTGTCTGTCTGTGCTCAGACCCTGGCTGGGCTTGGCTGTGGCCGTGCAGGGACAATGTGCTTTTCATGGAGCGAGTTGTCCCTTTTTAGTCTGGCAGGGCAGCTCTGGGCTCCTTCCATCTCCTCCAGGAGCCCCTGGAGGCCGTGCTGGCCTTGCCCCCGTGCCAGTCTCACGCCCTTCTCCTGTTTCTGTGCCCCCAGACGTGAATGAGTGTGAGGTGTTCCCCGGCGTCTGCCCCAACGGGCGCTGCGTCAACTCCGCCGGCTCCTTCCGCTGCGAGTGCCCCGAGGGGCTGACCCTGGATGGCACTGCCAGGACGTGTGTGGGTAAGGGCACCTCCTCTCACCCAAAGCCTGGCCCCTCTATGGGGCTCCAACCTCCCCCTCCCTGCCACGTGCAGCAGGAATTCTTGGGAATTTGAGTGGTGGCATCTTTTGGGAAGGACAGAGTGACCCCAAGGACCAACAGCCACCTTGCTGCCAGGGAGGGTTCCAGGGCTGCTCCTCAGGGTTCCATGAACCTGGGAATGGAGCAGCTCCTCACTCTCTCCTTGTCTTCATCCCTGCAGACAGCATGAAAGGGACCTGCTGGCAGGTCCTGGCAGCTGAACTGAGGCAAAGCTGCCACAGCTTCGTGTCCCCGAGTCCAGCAGTTGTTCCTCCTGGGTGGAACAACTTCAGAAGTGGCCAAATCACCTAATTTTGGTTGATGACACGGCCCAGCAGCCCTGAACCAACTCCTGGGCACACAGGGACAAACCTCTGCCCTTCCCAGGGGTCATCTGTGCTTCCAGCACCAGGGAAGGGCCATTTGCTGGCCCTATTGCCAGTAAATCCAGGCTGGTCATGTCCATGCTGTGAAATCTCCCACAGCATTCCAAAAAAAAAGGGAATGGCACTGGAACAGGCTCCTCAGGGCAGTCGTTGAGCATCCAACCCTGACAGGGTTCAAAGAGCGTTTGGACAACGCTCCAAGGGACATGATGGGATTGTTGGAGTGTCCTGTGCAGGGCTGAGTTGGGCTGGATGATCCCTGTGGGTCCCTTCCAGCTCAGGATATTCCAGGATTCTGTGAGAAGGGTCTGTGGGGCACCAGAAGCCCCCATGGAAAGCCCTGGTGCGAAGGAGAGGTCGGTGCCTGACCTGCCTGGGGAAACACCGGCCCTTGGAGAGAGAAATGAAGGAGCCAGTGCTGCAGCCACGTGGGTCCCTTCCTACTCAGCAAATTCTGTGAATGGCCCATTCCTGGGCACCCTTTGGAGGATGCCCCAGCCAAAGCCACTCCAGGGATGCTGTAAAGCCAGTCCCAGAGGGTGCCAGGAGTGATTTGTTAACCTGGGCACTGTTTGGAGGATGTCCCAGCCAAAGCCACTCCAGGGACCTTGTGAATTCAGTCCCAGAGGTGCCAGGAGTAATTTGTGAACCTGGGCACTGTTTGAAGGATGCCCCAGCCAAAACCATTCCAGGGATGTTGTAAAGCCAGTCCCAGAAGGTGCCAGGGTGATTTTTATCATGTGAAGCCAGTCCCAGAGAGGGTGCCAGGGTAGTTTTTATTTTGTGAAGCCAGTCCCAGAGGGTGCCAGGTGTGGTTGGTGAGTGCCCCATTCCTGGGCAGTTTGGACGATTCCCCAACCAAAGCCACTCCAGGGACCTTGTGAAACTCAGTCCCAGAGGGTGGCAGGAGTGGTTTGTGAACCTGGGCACTCCTTGGAGGATGCTCCAGCCAAAACCACTCCAGGGATGATGTGAAGCCAGTCCCAGAGGGTGCCAGGGTGGTTTTTACTGTGAGAAGCCAGTCCTAGAGGGTGCCAGGAGCGGTTTGTGAACCTGGGCACTCCTTGGAGGATGCCCCAACCAGAGCCACTCCAGGGATGATATGAAACCAGTCCCAGAGAGGGTGCCAGGCATTGTTGGTGAACAGCCCATTCCTGGGTCATTTCGATGATTCCCCAGCCACAGCCACTCCAGGGAGCGTGTGAAGCCAGCGGCAGGGTGGTTTTTACCGTGTGAACCCAGTCCCAGAGAGGATGCCAGGGTGGTTTTTACCGTGTGAACCCAGTCCCAGAGAGGGTGCCAGGGTGGTTTTTACCATGCGAACCCAGTCCCAGAGGGTGCCAGGGTTGGTTTTGGCGGCGGGTGGGCGCCTCAGGGGGGTTGCTGAGCCCTGCTGTGCCCCCCAGACGTGCGGGTGGAGCAGTGCTACATGCGCTGGGACGAGGACGAGTGCACGGAGCCCCTGCCCGGCAAGTACCGCATGGACATGTGCTGCTGCTCCGTGGGCTCGGCCTGGGGCAGCGACTGCGAGGAGTGCCCCAAGCCGGGCACCGGCGAGTTCAAGGCCATCTGCCCGCGCGGGCCCGGCTTCGCCAACCGCGGGGACGTGCTCTCGGGGAGGCCCTTCTACAAAGGTGAGCGGAAAGCCGGGAAAAGCACCTCGCGGTGCTCGGCCCTCTGCCCGCCCCGGGGGCTCTGGGCTCATGAGACACCCCCTCCCGCTGAAGCTCTGCTCTTCTCCACCCCCAGATGTGAACGAGTGCAAGGTCTTCTCCGGCCTCTGCACTCACGGCACGTGCCGGAACACCATCGGCAGCTTCCGGTGCATCTGCGGCAACGGCTTCGCTTTGGACGCTGAGGAGAGGAACTGCACGGGTAAGGGACCCCCCTCGTGAAATTAATATAAATAATGATATTATTAATAATAATAATAATAATATAAATAATAATAATAGGAATAGGATGCAGATTTTGAAGGCATGATGTCCCTCTCCCCACAGACATCGACGAGTGCCGCATCTCCCCCGACCTGTGCGGCCACGGCACGTGCGTCAACACCCCGGGCAGCTTCGAGTGCGAGTGCTTCGAGGGCTACGAGAGCGGCTTCATGATGATGAAGAACTGCATGGGTAAGTGATGCTGAAAAAAAAACCCCTCAGAATTAAGAATTTTTTGTCTCTGAGCAAGCAGCGAGGTGTTTGTTCGGCCGGTGTCGGGAGCGAGCCGGCTCGCGCCGGGCAAACTCGCTCGAAGGCGCCTGTTTGAGACCCTCAGAAATCCGATTTCCAAGTCCAACATCCCCCTCCCACAATTTACTTCAGTGTGAGAGGTTTTTCCAGACATAACACAACTCAGTACAGGGGGGGGGTAAGGGAATTATATTACAATTATTACACAAATAAATACTATAATACATTATATACACAATTCTCTCTCCTATGGTAAAGCAATATATACATTAGATCAAGTCCCTCCTTTTCCTCCAGTGAAAGTTCAGAAGGGAAGAAGAAAAGACCCTTTCCACTTTTCAGGGCAGCAGTGTCTCTCCTCTTCAAAGCAGCAGTCGTAGCTGGAGTTGTCATAGCTGAAATCTCTCTCTCTCTCTCCATCACACACAAGGGGGTCTCTTCTCAGCCCTTCAGCTCCAGCTGAAGGTCTCACCCGTGGACTGCCAGCAGGGACAAAACTCACTTCACCACAGTCATATCACAGAATGCAAGACATCCCATGGAAATCCCTTCCTTGAGGGGTCGAGTTCCCTCGAGTCAGAACATTTAGGGCAGCTCTCAGTTCAGTCTTTGCCCAAAGCATCCTACCAAAGCTCCTTTGTTCTGTCTCAAACTGCCAGCGTGGCAGCAGATGTGGGGGGGGCAAGGCAGTTTAATCCTGTTCCAAGCTCCTGCAGCCCCCAGCTCCTGGCTTTGGCCCCCAGCAGGGCTCACTGGCCCCTACTCCCTCGTGGCTGCCTCTCTTCCAACTACATCATCATCCTTCTTTTCCGGTCTGGTGTGATCTGTTTTAATTTTACAGGGGTGCTGATGGGGTCAACACCAAGAAACACCACCCCCCTGGAGTTAACCACTTTCCAACTCCAGGGGAAAACCTTTTTTTACCTAGGACAGCACCGATGCAAAACCAGGGGGTTTATACAGTCTGCATACACGATTGCAACATTTTAACATGGATATTCATATGATTACAATATCTAATCATACATATTAATAATAGGTGGAGTCTGGGCAGAGCTTAGGGTGGTGCTTCCCAGTTTCTTCTCTTGGCACTGAGTGTTGGTGCTCATTCTGGCCTTCAGCCTCAAATCGGGGGCCTGTTTCTCTTCTTTCTCGCTTTGACCTCCTCACCTTTCTGTTGTTAACATCCTGACTACTGAAGCTTGCAGAAACCCTTGGCTCTAAGCCCTTTTCTCCTAGTCAAATGTCCACCCTGTCTTAATTTATGACCTCCAGGTTGATTGTGTAGTTTCCAGCCTTCTTATGATTAGGTTTGGGTCCAGCGAGCAGAACAGAACGAGTTCTTCAGCAGCACAGGCAGAGCAGGTGTCAGGGGTTATCAACAGTTAACTCTTTTAGGCCTTGCTCTCATTTCATAAGGACCTGCCCTTGGCCAGAAGGAGTGGGTTGACTCTGGCTGGGTCTCTCCCTCCCCTTGGAAATGGGGAAGGGGGGTTTAAAAAATGGTGAAGAATTCGTAAGTTGAGATAAGAGCTGGGAGAGGTCACCCACTGATCACCACCATGGGCAAAACAGACTCAGAGTGGGGATATTGGTTACATTTATTAATTATTTATTAATTTATTAGTTAAATTTATCAATTATTTATTAATTGATTAGTTAAATTTATCTCCCTCCCCTCGACAACTGGGCAGAGGAGGGGAAAAATCCGGTGAAGGATTTGTGAGTTGAGATAAGAGCTGGGAGAGCTCACCCACTGGTCACCATCAGAGTGGGAAAACAGACTCAGAGTGGGGATATTAGTTAAATTTATTATTTATTAATTTATTAGTTAAATTTGTCTCCCTCCCCTCAGCAACTGGGCAGAGGAGGGGAAAAATCCGGTGAAGGATTCTTGAGTTAAGAGCTGGGAGAGGTCACCCACTGATCACCTTGTATTTCCTTCTTCATCTTGTGCTCGTTCCTGTCCTTGAACCAGGTCCATTCTTCTTCATTTCATGCTCCTCTTCCCTCAGACCTTCCCCTGCCCCAGACCTTGGCCATTCACCTTCCTCTCCTTTCAGCCCCCGGCAGCTGGAGCTCGAGCCTGGCATTGCCACTGAGCTGGGACAGGATCCATGCCTGGTGTTTTCATTCCTGCCACCTTTCTCCTGGGCACTGGCCAGTGCCTGGTGGAGCTGTGCCAGCCCAGCAGCTTGGACTGGGTGTTTTGAGAGCTCCAGTTCTCTCCCCCACTTGGCCCTTTTACTTTCCGTGACGTCTCATCTCCTTCCCCTTCTCAGCCACCCATTATTGATTTGGCCACTGATGAATTCAGCCACTGGAAGGTGTCCCTGCCCCCCCCTGGCAGGAGGTTGGAGCTGAATGATTTTTCAGGTTCCTTCCAAGCCAAACCATTCTGGGATCCTGTGGTTGTTTACATATTCCCCACTCTAAACACCCCCCCATCTCCACCCATTATTAACCTCACGTGGTCAACCCTTGCACTAAACCATTTTCAAACACCCTGGCAGATGAGCAGACCTGTTATTTCCACTCCTGTATTAGGAGATAAATTAAATTTTGTCTTTCTAGCACTGCTTGGCCTCCTGCTGTCCCAGTCCATCCTCCAGCCACGTGTCATTAAATCAAATTAAATCAAATGCCTCCCCTGGCAGGAGGACATGGAGATACACCTTGCTGAGCAAGAGGTCCACCAGGAGATGGATTGTGTCTCTTCCAGCTCAGAACCTTGCTGATTCATCCTGTTTTTCTTGGGCTGCTTTCCACTGGATCTCTTCTAAAATGCCTCTCAGCCTGGTCTCACTTTATGTGATATTTAAATATCACTATGTGTGATATTTTAACCTACACCTTTCCTTGGGCTCTGCAGCAGTTCCATACCAGCCTCAGCCATGAAAGAGGTCCCTGCCCAGCTCCCCAGACATTTTCAGGGATCAATTCCTTCCTGAGAAGTTCTGGTGGATCATCCACACTCTCCTGCCCCACTCACTTCTCAGTTATAATTGTAAAAGCTTCTTTCACCTGCCAAGCTCACGGTCCTTTATCCTCAGATAATTCTTTACAGCTCCTCCCACCCGCCCAGTGCTTGTTTTTACTCTGTCAGAGTCTCATCTGTTTTCAATTTAATAATTCTTGTTTGGAGCTTAAAAAAATCCCATCAGTGACCTCAGTACCTCAGTTCTTCTCCAACAGCTCAGCCAGACTCTTGCTGTCCTCTAATTCCTGGCATTCCATGTTCTTTTCCTCGTCTGTCCAGCCAGACTCACTTGTCTCACTGACCTACTCCTGATGTTCTGCTTTGGCTTGGACTTTCAAACCACTTCAGTCCTCGGTGTGATTCAACACCATTTATTTATTTTTCATGTTTTATTCTCTGTGTTCTTTGAAACCAATCCCTGCCCTGCCACTGGCCTGGGGTTTGTTTTTTCCCTGCAGTTTGTGCTGTGGGTTCCCACAGCTCCCACTCATCATCTTCCTCCTTCTCCTCCTCCTCCTCTGAGACACTGAGACTGTCACAGTCCCCACCAACAACCTGCTGGCTCCTTGCAGCAGTGACATGTCTAATATCTTTATATATAAATTGTCCTTTATTTATTTAAAGCTCATTATTATCTGCTCATTATTATATTAAATCCAACTCCACCTTGTCCTTGAGGTGACAGAGAGCTGAGTCACCTCACCCCTAAGTGACATTATGGCCTTTCCTCTGCTCCAGGATTAACTTTTTCCCACCTCTGTTTGCCTCCAGCCTCCTGAGGGAGGAATTCTTTCCAGCCTGTGGCTGTGGATGACAACAACAGCAGGGAAAATGCAGCCTGGAATTCACCAGGAATAGGCTCCCACCGTGGAGAACTCAAGGCACAGCTCCTGGGGAGTGTCTGATAAGAACCTGTCACCCCCATTTTTGGGTGGATTCCAGTCCCCTGTAGCTGTGGATAACCTGAAGATCCCATCAGAGTGTTTTATCCAAGGAAGGTGCAATATTCCCCTCTTAATTTCAAGTTTAGAATCTGAAAAATAATCACCTGAGAAGAAATTGGGTTCTTCCCACACATCCAACCTCCCTCCCTGTCTCTGCTGTCACTGAGGGGTTTCTGGGGGAGATTTTTAGCTCCCTCAGCTCCTTCCTGTTGCACCCAAAGGCTTTGTGCTCTCAATTCCCATTTCTCAGGGTGCAGCTGTGGATGAATCCTCTGAGCACTTCCAGGGAGGCTTCCCTGGTTTTTTTACCCTCTTCCTGTCACTGCAGGACATCTCCAGTCAATTCTAGGGGTATTCAAGAACCCAAAATCTTTTGATTTTGACAAACTCCATTCTGGGACCAGAACAAAGAACCTCAGACTCCTGGTTCAAAAGTTAAAGGATCAGATTCATCCCAGCACTTGCCCTTTCCAAGGAATGTGACTGTGAAGCACATAAAGACTTACCTGGACAGCATCTTAGAAGATCACAAAGAGCCTTCTCCAAGGTCTCTCTCCATGGATAATCCATTGATAACAAGGCTTCACACTTTTCATCTCCTCCTTGTGTTGTTTTTTTTGTTTCCAGCCATCACCACTTCACCATTCCAGGAATTTCCCTTGTTTGGGTTTTCCAGTCTGACGTTTATAAACTTTTCTATCCCTTTTTGGTTTTTATTTTTCATTTTGAACAGATCCCATCTCTCTCCCAGCAGTTTCACCTATTCCAGGGATTTCTCCAGTTCCTTGTAAATTCCATCTTTTTGGTCCACATGTGATTTTTTTCCAGCAATGTGGGAGTTATTTCCTACCCCCATGTGTGACACTGGAGCTGGGGAGGCTCTTCCCAAGAAGGTCTGTTGGTGTTCTATCAAACAAACCACACGTTTTCCAAGGAATTCTTCCTCTGCTGATGGGATTTGTGAGAATGTACTGGGATGGGGGGGGCTGGGAATTATCCTTCTAGTCCTTGCTGGCTCAACTGCACAAAGCTAATAATGTCCTTGCTCCTGATGTCACATTTTATGTCCTGCTGAGGTCAAGGTTGTGATTTCAACCAGGAGTCCACTGGACTCACCCAATCCCGGGTGATTTTGGGATATCCCTGTGTTTTTTGGGATGTCCCTCTGGTGGTGGGGACTGTGCTGCTGGCACCAGCACTGCCCTGCTAGCTGGAAAACCCTCTGGAAGGGGACAATCGATGTCGTTGTGCGCAGATATCAACGAGTGCGAGCGGGACCCGCTGCTGTGCCGGGGCGGGATCTGCATGAACACCGACGGCAGCTTCGAGTGCATCTGCCCCCCTGGCCACGAGCTGACAGCTGAGGGCAACACCTGCATAGGTGAGAGGCTGGAAACCTCTGTCACAGTGAGGGTTCAAAGGGAATCACACAGGGAAGCTCAGGTCTCGTGCCGAGGGTACAAATATCTTCTTCCCTGGAAGCGCCCGAGACCAGGTTGGAGCAGCCTGGTCTGGTGGAAGGTTTCTCTGCCTATGGCAGAGGGGTGGAATGAGATGATCCTTAAGGTCCCTTCCCACCCAAACCACCCTGTGATTCTGTAATATATGGTTAGAACACCCTCACCCAGGAGGGACCAGTGCTGTTCCCAGGGTTTCACTACACTTACGTTGTTCCTTCTGCTGTTCGCTGAGCACCGACCAACGGGGCAACGACAAACTCAGTTTGGAGACCCAGGGGTGGGCACCAGGTGATTCCCAGGGTGGGAATCAGCCCGGCTGGCTGCTCCAACTGCTCTTCCCCCCCCAGATATCAACGAGTGCTCCCTCAGTGACAACCTGTGTCGCAACGGGCGCTGCATCAACGTCATCGGCACCTACCAGTGCTCGTGCGACTCGGGCTTCCAGGCCACGCTGGACAGGCAGGGCTGTGTTGGTGAGTCCTCCTCTGTGCCGAAGAGTCATTCCAGGACCCCAGGATGAGCCCAGAGCCCTCCTGGTGTCTTGTCTGTTATTTATAACCCTCAGCGGGGCGTTGGAGGGTTGGACGAGGGGGGAACCTCCCGGTTGAGCGACGGCCAAATCTGCCGGTGAGGGAGTGTGGGTGGCTGTGGTTGGGGGGAAGGCATTGGTGTCCTCTTCAGCACCTCTGCTGTGAGGCACATATCCCAACCCACGACCCAAACTGCTGCCTGACCTGTCCTTTGTCCCCAGACATCGACGAGTGCACCATCACCAACGGGGGCTGTGACACCCACTGCTCCAACTCGGAGGGCAGCTACGAGTGCAGCTGCAGCGAGGGCTACGCGCTCATGCCAGACAAGAGGTCCTGTGCAGGTCAGTGCTCATGCCAGA